CTCTCTCTCTCTCTCTCTCTCTCTCTCTCTCTCTCTCTCTCTCTCTGAGGCGGAGTTTATCCCCTCTGCTCACCGTGTGCACTCTCTTCACTTGGCAGTAGCAGCTCGCGTGTGGGAGAGGACACATGCAAGTCTATGGAGACGTAGGACACTTTGTAGCTTTAATATTCTGCTCGTTTACACTATTTCTCTCATCGGGTGCGATCAGGCCACAGGCTCTGATAACACGGAAAATACAAAGCGGAATCTTAAATTGTTGACTGTAGTGGAGTGGAGTCAGCCTGATGCGCAAGTAAGTGATGCTGGCCTTATATGACTGGTATAGTTGATGTGGGAATAGCCTTGACTCTGATGAAGAGGGTTCTTGTGTGTTTCATTACATTGATCGTGGTTTTGTGTATCCCAGAAATGTAATTTTTAGCTGTGACATTATTGAAGGCAGTTTGAACTTTGCTTGTGTGTTAGGCCTGACGTGTTAGAATAACCGCTCAGATCTAGCAGTGTGAAGCCACAGTGTTGACCAAAGGCTATACCCGGACTCTCAAAAAAATGTGTGTTGTGTAGGTGTGTGTGTGTGTTTGTCAAACTAGTTATGGAAGCCAAAATAACCTGCGTGTTTTTACTTGTTTCACCTCCATATCATGGGTGAAAAAACATATTACGGTTTTATAAATTATTATATATAAAATCTTCTAGCATGCTCCCTCTCCCTCCCTCTCTCTCCCTCTCTCCCTCTCTCTCTCTCTCTCTCCCACTCTCTCTCTCTCTCTCTCTCTCTCTCTCTCTCTCCTCTCCTCTCCTCTCTCTGTTTGTATCCGAGAGGCGGCCCCTTTAAGAGACGATGGGTTAGTTTGTGTCTTTGGTTATCTAGCTGTATGAGTTTTAATTTCATAAAGCTAGAGAACCGAAAGTACGAACTGACGCCGAGCACTTCGGAGCCGGGGGGCTTCCTCTCGCCTCGGCATGGAGGAGGAGGGGGACACGATGCCGGGGCGTGCAGCAGCAGCGGCAGCAGGAGGAGGAAGCAAGAGGGACGGATACTGAGGGAGGCTGCACGCCGCGGCTACCGACGAGGAGGAGTGGTGGTGGGGATTTTAGTGTCGCTTGTCTACCTCCTCTAGACAGGTGTTGGCACGTTAGAGGAGCCACGAGCGTGTCCGTGAGGGCGTGATTTGGGGGTTCGTGTTTTGGGGCATCGCGGTGTCGCCGGGGCCTGTTGAGGATCAATAAATCGGCTGTTCGCTCAACTTTAGGACATGCATGTGGGGAAACATACAAAAAAACACAGCTCGTGCTGTTATGTATAGTCATAACTATGTGGGTGTTATAACAATATCTGCAGCAGCATCAGATGTTGGTAATGCTGATTATTCTAGGCCCTAGAAGTTGCCTTCATTTAAGCCAAGCTGCATCCACTGCACGTGCAGACTCCCTGACTCCTCTGACACTTTATGAGTGTAGGCTAAGTGATCTCCCCTGGCTGTAATTTACTTGACATTAGGAGCGTGATGTATAATTGGATGCACATGTACATCACTTGGTGCAAGATGAAGTCTTATTAAAGTATGGGCATATAGGACTGGACTACTGTGTGCTAACATGCCTGACAACAACACAGAAACTGTGTTTTTGCACCATTCCAGTGTCAACTGGGCCGTTTGGTTCTTTGCTACCGAACTACAACCTGCAGGGTACAACACATCAAAACCATATGGCATCAGTCAGTTAGAGCAAAGGAGACTGTACACAATCATCGTCAGCCTGTTTCGAACATGCTTTCATCACTGAATCTGAGTTAGACACGGCAGATATGTTCAAATTTGTGTTTCGCCGGGTGGATTATTTTTGTGTTTGCCTGCTAGATAAGAACAAAATAGGACATCGGCTCAGAGTTTGATCTATTCTTAGAGCAGAATCAGTGGGCCTGGAGATGACTGAATACCCCTGAAGTCCCAGCATGCTCTATTTAGACCATGACTGACAATATTTGATGTGCACCGTTAAACAAGAGAGCTTGGATCATGTGTGAGTGTGTGTGTGTGTGTGTGTGTGTGTGTGTGTGTGTGTGTGTGTGTGTGTTGTTGAAGTTTGCGTTTGAGAGCCGGTGTACAGTTGGAGCCAGTATGAACGATGTGACCTCCATGTCCTCCATCTTGTAGGATTAAAATATTATGTGATTTTGTTATCTCTGTCTTTCTGATTGACTGATTGATGTCATGATTTTTAGCATTTATACCAGAATACTTTATTTTGTGTACAACATTGTTCCTGTTCAATCCTGGTTTTTCCGTAGCTTAGCAACTGGGATGCTGCCCAGATGAAGCATTCTCTATGCTTTTGCTTTGTGGTATAATTTCCCACTTATGTCTTTCCCATCACATTTTGTAATTTCTGGCTTTTTGCAAACACTTTTATCAATCTTGACTCATTTTTCATGCAAAAGAAAATATAAGTCACCTCGCAAAGATACAAAATAATGAGAAGTGCATGAGAAAAAAAACACCAGACAAGTTTAGGTTGAGGGCTGTTAGCTGCAAGGTCAACAAAGCTGCATTTATTTCCCCCCTTATATTTCCCTCCACTCCCTCGCAAGCCACTTATTTATTCCCGAAAGATGTGGTTTGATTTAAAACGAGAGCGCTGGCAATGATTTCATCCACACTGATTCTCTTTTCTTTTGACTTCAAAGGAAAATGCCGACCACGTCAGCCCTGAAGTTTGCAACGACTCACAATGAAGACAAACTGCCACCAGACAGGACAATGAGTCACCTTACAGGTAAATATTTTAAGGACACATGGGTGTAGAGAAGTAGCTCACATGTTATTTCCATATACAGTCCAGGATGTTGCCAAATGCACAACATTATATGCCTGATATTTTTTTGTGTACAACCAGTCCATGGATTTAAGAGGCAGGTTCAGGTCAAACTTTGAGATGCTGGAGGCTTGCAGATAGTTGTGTTTCAGCAGAGTCTTGAGCAAACGATGGTGCAGCAACGCTGGCGGTTGAGTGTTGTCCATATTTTGTAGAGCTGTGAGGACGGTTGTGTGTGTGTGTGGGTATGAAAAAGACAGAGAACGAGAGACAGGCCGAGCCTGAATTTTGAAATATTGAGGATTTTGTACTTTGCATCAAGAATGATTTTTAAAGTGTGCAGCACTGTAAACCTCACCGTCTTATTCATACGAAAAGGGGCAATAAGAGGGACATTTACTGCCAGTTTTATTTGCGCACAGTGTAAATGTCAGTTTGATATTATTCATGTATATATCAGAATATATACACACAGTGTGGAGCTGCAGTAGTAGCCTACAGCAACAGAGAGTAAACGGTGTGATTTGAAGAGTGAAGTAAGACCTCCATGTTGAATTACATCATTTCTTTGAAGTATTAACATTTGTTACATTGCACATCATCCCCCATCCTCCTCAGACACACACACACACACACACACTTCTCTCTTTCATTCACATACATTCAACGTATTATTCCTTTAAACACTATGATCCTATTTGTCAGGTAGAGTGTGTGGTAGGTGCAGGGGAGGTGGCCGTGTAATCTTTGCTGCGGTTCTTTATCCCGTTAGGAGAGTGCAGGCGAGGTTTGGACCTGCTCATGTGTAAAGAGCGTTTGGGTGGCTCTGTCCTTTTCGGCCCTAATGCCTTGACGAGCCACGCTTCCCTTGTCCAAAGTCTCCTGATTATTGTGGGGAAAGTGTTGATTTCCATAAAGGTATCGCACATGCATGATTACCGAGGGCAGCATTAAGTCAAAACGCTTGATGATATTGTGAATTGCAAAGGAGACCTATTGTGCGATCAGTGCGGTGAGATATTATTGGTTTCACACTTACGTTAAAATTTACGTTCCCAATTTTAAGGCGTCTAAGAAATAAAAACCTGAGATGTTATCTCAGTTATTTCACAAGATTGAAACGGAAACATTCCTAGCTTTAAGGTTGGCAGTTTGTTCCCTCCAATTCCTCTTAGTTCAGCATTAGGAATTAAACAATAAGTGCACATTGTAAGCAAGGTCAAATCTTCATGGTTCCACAACCTTGAAGCTCAATATAAAGCTCAGTTATTCAAATTTAGTGTGGAGTTCTTTGAGTAGCCCAGATTTTCCCAAGCTTCATATATTAGCATATGCAAGGGCCGGCCTGTGCTGCTGTTTTCTAAAGTGGATGTAAATTATAACCTCAGTATTATACAGGCTGATAGGAGATAAATCTCTGCAGTAATGCATTGCAGCGAATGGGGGTGGGGGTGGGGGGGTGCGGCTGCTGTGGAGGGGGGTTGAAGAGTGGGTGTGTGAGAGGTACTGTACAATAGCTGGTGGCAGATGGAATACAGACTAGCAAAGCACTTGCTAATAGTCATGCTAAACTCTCTTTTCACTGGTTTGAGTGTCTTCGGATTTTCTGCCGCATTTCTAGAAAAAAAAAAAAAAAAGAAGAAATTTTAAGAGAGATTCTTAGAAATAGAAATTTTAAGACAGTTTCAATATTGGTTTAACAGTTTTGCAAGTGCGCACACATCGTTTCAAAACAAATATTAACACAGGGAGATTACTAAGTCGAAATTTGCACTTGTGCGGTCCAAAAGGCTGAGGGGCTTCAGGCCTCACGAGCAGAGTGGAGATCTCTTTGGAATCTCTATGCAAACTAGGGCTTGAATAATGAGATGTATTTATGAAGGGCTGGGAAAAGGGTCCTGCTTTTGAAAGCCAGTAGGCCGGAGCCTGAATGGGATGGAAGGAGGAGGGGGAGAGTCGGACAAGGGGGAACGGGGGGTATGTGTAGAGGGGGTACAGGGGCCCCCAGCAGCCCAGGCCTCGGCTGAGGCAGCTGTGAAAAGGGGTCCCGTCTTTTTCCCACGCCCAGCAAGACGCGAAACACTGCCGCAGCTCGCTAGGGTCAAGTCCCATCGCTAATATATACACACATACATACACATGCATGCACACACACATAGATGAGAGATGTGTGTGTAAACGTTGTGCAAATTAACAAGCTGTCTGGGAAGCTCTGTGACATGGTGGACACCTGCTATTCTCCCAGAATGCTTTGCACTCTCATCAGGGGCTGCTGTGCTTGATGGGACAGCAATTAGGTCGTAACTTCAACTTGAATTTAACATTTTGGTGAGGATTAAAAAGAGGCTGGATTATGATTTGTTTTAGTTAGTTGTCTTTGTCTTTTTGTGCATTTGAATTTACACAGTGCCATCTGTTCTTGTTACATTTGAAAATGACTGTGTAATTTATACATTTCTTTAAGCATGATAACAGTATATTTTTTTATGCCTTGATGCAAAAGTCAGTTCTGGAGAAATAATGTGATATAGAGATACTTCTGCAATTGTTGATGAGTCCATTCACTCAGTCTGTGGAGGCAAACTTGGCCTTGTGCTTGGACCAAGACCCTAACTGTCAACTTGGCATTGTCTGCCTGCACACACACACACACACACACACAGCTTGCTTCAAGGACACACAAAAGAAACATTTGAACGTGAAATGGAGGAGAGTTGGGGGAAGATATGGCAACTATGGAGGAATGTTTTTGGCGCTGAACTCTCAGTGTGACCTTCTGTCCTTATCTAAATAAGGAGCTGAAAGACCGCAGCAATGTTTTAGAAAGAGAATACTGATCTCCATCTCAAAAAACGGATGCTTTGCAAAACAATAATTAGCATGAAAAAAAAGCAAAGAAAGACAAATGAGTCAAACATTTATTTAGTTTATTTGCTGCATGCCTGATGTTCATCTGTATGTCATCGTTCCACATTTTGTGTTTTGCTTCTTGCAGTTTGTTTCAGAGCAGCATTTCTCTTGCAGCTTTTTGAAATGCTGTCCAGCTGCTCTTTTTGCTGCCTTCCCCATGAAGCTGGTGTCACACCCATTAGTCCCCTCTGTCTCTCTCTAGATACTGGCACACCCATCAAATCGGTGCAACACTCAGTTCCCTCCCGATTCCCCGCTACACCAGACTTACACAGAGCTGTGTCACACTAATTCAGGTCCCCCTGCTTGCGTGAGCTCCTTGCTTTAATTCCACCCTATGAAACACGCGACTGCTATCTCTTTGAGTATATTCCTCTCTCCTTTCTCCCTTCTTTATCCTGCATGTCCCTCATTCTCTGTCTCCTTCTCCCTTCCTCGTCATCATCTTCCCTCCTATTCAGATGAGATTCAAATAGAGAGGGGGGGACCCTTCTAATTAGCTCTGTAAAGATGCTTTGTCGCGGTCAGTGTGGCCACCAGTGTGTGCATAGAGAGGGGATGTTTTACAGCTAGTGTTAGCTTTGAGAAAGTGTGTATGGGCTCTTAATGAGGTTTGTTAGCTGAGTGTGTATCCTGCTGTTTGAATACACCCTCGGCAGCATTTGAAGGAATAGAGATGAGGAGAGTAGAGAGGAGTCTTTCAGGTGGCAGGTTGCAGAATGCAGAATATGCAACGTGATTTCCATTTGAACAGCAGGTGAGAGGAGAATAATGCTTAACTTGTCCGTGTAAACTGTGGGAAGTATACGGGGCTCATCATGCTCCTCGGACAGATACTTTTCCTCACCACAGAAATCTGTAGCGACTCCAATTAATGCTCCTTGTATTCGTGGTTTCGACAGATGCTCAAGTAGAAGTATTAGCCTAAATGAATCTACTGGTTTAGTATAAAAGTAGTTGTAGTTGACACTATAGTTTGCTGATGAATAGGAGGCCAAGTGCAGAGAGAGAGAGAGAGAGATTCAGCTCCTCATTTGTGGTTATGATTTGAAGCCAGCTCACTAAAGAAGAGAGGGCCTGTCAGAAATCATTATTGTGCAACTTAAGTGTTCGGCAACCTAATACTTGTTCCAGAGTTTTCTTTCCTTTTTCAATTGTAAAAGATGAAGACTTGCATGTCTCTCATTCAGCACAAGGACAATGAAGATGATGGTTAATATAATTGGGGATCAACTGTGAAGAGTGAAAGGAAATAAATATTTTAAAATGTAGACAAAATGCAGAGGAGAGGTGGTGGAGGTGGTGGTGGTTGAGATTAGAGATGGCTGGAAACAGATGAGAACCAGAGGTGGAAGGGAGACGGAGAGAGAGAAAAATGAGGAATTGTATATGGAGCCAAAGAGCCGACCTGCTGAGATTGTAAACTGTCACTCAGGATGCAGACAGACAAGCAAGACAGACATCATTTCCCCATATTACCTTCCACTACTGAAACTGTCGTCCATGCAGCCCCTTCTGCTCCCCTTCTTTTTCCATCCCTCACTCATGATATTTTTTTCCGCCCGTGCACATGCATGAATATGAACCACCTGATCCATTTCTTCTATCTTCCTCCTCTCGCAGCTCCTCCACTTTCTCCAGGTCTGTCTTTTTTCCATTGAGGAAATGAGTCAGCTTGCAGAATGCTCTCCCCTCTCATTGTTGGATGGTTCGTTGCCTCTCCATAGGAGGTAGAGAGTGTTTGGGCTCTTTCCCCTGTTTTACCAGTTTACCAGTGTAATCCTCTACACCGGCACAATGAGCTCTCACTCCAGCCACAGGATTCTATTAGGCTCCCAGAGAGACTCAGGATCTCCATAAACATTTTCCAGCTACCCCCCTCGCCACAGCTAAACTGATAGCTTCCTTTGTACATGTTAAGCAGCGCTCCCCTTTGTTTAGCCAGAGGAGATTTTACCTGTCTGGAGAAGAAAGGCAGAATAAAAGCTTATACACTTAAATTACCAAGGGCTTGTTAACGCTGTCGACTTCACTCCCAAACTGACTCCCAAAACAGTGTTTCCTTTACAACCGCAGAGTATATAACAAGCAACTGCGAACAAGCAAACGCTTGTTATAAGGTCTTTGGAGGAATGCTTAAGATGTTTAAAAAATGCTGAAGTCTTTGGAGGATGCGATTCCTGCTCGCTGCTGCAAAAACGATGCCATTAAAGTCTGCAGATAAACTCTGCAGTCTGTCATTTCATTTGGAGATTCACAACTGAGTCTGTATCTCATTGAAACCTTTGAAATGTATAAAAGAAGACATATATTTTGGTATTAATAGCTCTCCATCTTTAAGAGGGAACATTGTTCACTCTTGCACAAATGCTGCTGCTTTTACAAACTGTTGCTAATATGTCGCCCTCTTCATCTATACCTTTTTGGGGGGAAATGCTCACTTAAGCTATAGAGTCCAAGTATATAGTACTTTCCTACCAAAATACAAAAAGAACACGGTAGCAAAACTAAACACAATAAGAGAAATGAGCACGGCCTGAAACCAGTGTGCTCTCCAGGCTTCATAGCTTCATTTAAATTAACTAACAAGTATATTGTATGAACGGCTCTAACATGGTCTTTAATAGTAATTGATTCCTTAATGCTGAGTAAATTCATTTCTTGATACATTGTATTTATTTCATCCTATTTTTATTTATCTATTTATTTAATACATAACTGTAAATTTGCCAGTTCAAGCAAAATGGCTAATTTTCAACTATTGTCAGTTGGCCAAATGTTGAATTATCCATCAGAAATAATAAGACACGAGATCTAGATTGACCATATGAATCGTACAGGCTGATGACTATTTTCTTAAATGTTATAGAATAGTCAGAATGAATATTGCTCTTAGTTCTATCAAGTTTTGTAATTGTTTAAGGCAGTAGGATGGCTGAAGCTGCTGCGATGTGTTTGTCGATGTTTTTTTCCTCAAGTCCAAAGCCATGGGTCACAGCTAGGGCTCCTCACTGCCCCCCTCCTCATACACAAACATACTCCTCTATCTCTCCTCCTCCCCCCACGCCCCCCCCCCAATCCTTCCTTCCCTCTCCTCCCATCTTGATAATGCCGTTCTTTTATTTCGTGCTGGATGGACGGCAGCCCTGAACTAACACTGTCCCCTATGCCGGCTCTAGTGGGGGGCCCTATTGTGTGTGAAGGAATGGGGAGTTAACATCCATGTCTGAACCCTCTCAATGGGGGCATTGTGTCTGAATCTTCCTCCGGCTCACCCAATCTCACCCCACGTCACTCCCCTGCACAGGCCAAGCCAGGGGCTACTCCGGGTGCTCCCCCATTATAAGATGAAAACATGCACATAACAGCGAACTCAAATCCACAAACAAACCATCCCATAACTAACCCCGGCCGCTTTCACCCGGTGCTTTCTGTGTCCTATTAATTTTGCAGCAAACCACACTGAGCTGAATGCTGTTTTTTTACAGAAATGGGGGCCACTCGGTGCACGGTTACTGAAGGAGGCCCCTGCAATTCGTTTTTCTTATGGAAAAGAACAAAGCGACACATAAAGGACAATGTTGTATTAGCATGATAACAGGATTCAGAATGCTTTCAGAACATTTCAAGATGCACTGCAGTGAAGGAATCCATGCAAACTATTCATTTAGTTTTAAAACCGTTATCATGCTCATTGTTTTATTTATGCCAGTCATAAAACATGGTAAAAGAAAATGACTAGACATAATAAATGTAAATAGTATTTTAAAATAATGAAGGTTAAGTGTAAAGATTTTAAATGTGAATGATTTATATTTATGGGACAAAAAAACATGTAAAAACTATGAACAGAGATGGATGTGTCTGTGTTTCATACAGTATGCTGAGCAGTTTTATTTGTTTCTGTATAGCAGCGAGCGCCTTGGGGCAGGTTACAAAAGAGCAAGTTGGCGTTTTCTTCCCACATATTTTTAATCAAAGTGTTAGTGTTTACATTTGCATTTGCATTAAGCAGAGGGATGCTGAATGCCAAAGGTGAGATTTTGAAAAACACTCTCTTTTCCCTTTTTCAGATGGAGACAAGGGTGGGTGGTTGGAAGGCTGGATAAAGGCTGGTAGATGACTGAACTCAGAGACCCAGCGCTGCTCATCATCATTGCCATGGGCTCTCGTCTTCCTCCTCTCCTCCTGTGGCCGATACCTCCAACCAGGGGTCCAACAGAGCCAGTGAAGCCCAGGCAGGGAGCTAGTGAGTGGGCTGGAAAGGATGGAGAAGGTCCCTGATGGCTAGAAGCACCTCTGGAGCTACCAGCATGCAGGAGAAATCAATATGAAACACAGATCCAGCACAGCTCTGAGTGGGTCTTTCCTGTGTTAGTCTGTGGCCTAGGGGCCCGCAGACCTCCAAAGGACAGGCCCTGCGTGGCCCCCTCAGCTGCAGGCTGAGACTGGCTCCTCAGACTGGACCTCAGTCCCAATCTCCACTGGCTGTGTGTGGTTCAGCTGAAGGGGATCTCTCCCCAAATGATACCCCGAATGCTGAGAGACCGCCGACAGGGATATTCCTTTCTCTTTCTTTTTTTTCCCTTCATAAGATTGACATATCCCCCACCTTCTGCCTCTGGCTGTTTAAAAAACAGTTTGGCAGTCCTGCTTTTGACTCTCTCTCCATCCTCAACACGCCCGTTGTTTATTCCCAAACCAGTTTTTACATTTGACAAAGAGACAGTACGATCTTTATTTTCTCTTCCACTCTTGGCTTGCTGTTACCATGGTAAGCTGCAGACATGTGTCAGTTAAGACCCGAAAAACTGGCACATGATATGATTGTCTTTTTCCCTCCGTGATGTCTGGTATTCAATCCCAGAATATTTTTTTTTAAATGACTAACTGAATGTCAAGAAGGGCAGAAGATCACAGAGCAGAGAGACCTTCTCCTCTGGTAGTGGAGATGGTAAAATGGCAAGTATCTCTCTTTAGCACTCCACATTTTCCACTCTGAACAACTCTCAATGTGCTCTCATTACCTCATACGTCACATAAAATCATTTGTGTGTGTGTGTGTGTGTGTGTGTGTGTATGACTGTAACTTTGCAGCCTCTTTAGTTAATAGAGGATCATTTTATTATTTTGATTACAGATGTAAAAGATGCTTCTTTGACTCTAAGAAATGTTTGGAAGTTAACAGGTTAATTTAACTTCTAAAATGTAAGATGTCCCTCAGATCTGAACATTTTGAATCAAATGAGAGAACTATTCTCTATTTACATTTCCCCCAATAGACAGCTCTGTGTGTGTGTGTATGAATAGATATGCTTGGCCTTGAAAGCCAGCGAGCAGCAGCAGTGCACCCACAGCTCCCAAACTGCTGCCGTCGTCACAGTAATGCAGTGTGGTTGTTTCCATCCAGATGGGCACAGCTTTAGACAAAATGGCCGCCAGTCTCTCCCTCTGCCAAAGATGGAGGGCGCATCTCTGTTGTCTGCCATCTGTGCATCCGTTAGCTGTTGTCGAATGCAAATCGAGGCTAATTGCATTTGCATAACCTCCAACCATCATGTCATTGGCATGTGCTGATAATTGCTCCTGTGAACGCGGCGTAGCGGCAAGCGAAACAGGAGCGATGTTTTAAAGTGTATTTTGCCGCTGTTTGTTTTTCTCTTAGGGTCGTATGCGCACCCTGAAATGTGTTTGATAGGTGTTGGGCGCGTGTGAGATCAAGAGTCTGGTCCTATACTGTGCCATATGGTGAGTGTGTTTGCATGTGATTCCCTCGCATGCAAATGTGACAATGTACAAAAGATTAAGTCGAGACATTTTTTTTAAAATCAGATAGCGCCCTGTCGAGCATGCACAGAGTTCTTTAACATGCGGACATATATAATGCACTGATGAAAGCATTAAGCAAACAGAGAAGCTCAGACATGCACATGCACTCTAATTAAAAAAGGATCCATAGGCCCAACAAACTCCAGACTGACAGACCATAATAGTCTCATTTTCATGCACATTGGTGTCTGGTTACCATGGTACTGAACAAATCAAGGGGTGACTGATTTTGCTAGAAAAGGGCTGCACATGAAACATATAAATGGGAGGTGTGAAGTATCATATCAAGGCGTTTTGCCAAGAATACACCAGTTAGAGGAAAATGAGAGACAATCAAAGTGCTTTTCATCTTTTCGAGACTTGAAATAACCTGAAAAAATATTCAACATGCAGATCTCATAACTTGGCATAATAACGTTCGGAGCCGTTCATGTAGTAGATTGAAGCATTGTATAAATGAATAGCTCACGTTTTTTTTTTTGCATTTTGGCAGTTCGTCGTTTTGTGGTTGCATTTGATTGAGCAGGTCTTGTTTTCGGAGCGTTAATTCATGCGATGAGATTCGGCTGGGCGGCTGAGTGACAAAGCAGCGTTCATATTTGCATTCGCCCATCAAGGCAGCTGCTGCGCTGTACAGTTAGGTCTACTGTGGGCAGCAAAATGGCGGTCACGCGAATCATAGGGTCTGTCTGCTGGTCGTGGGAGCTGAGGGGAGGATTAATGAGGGACTGGAGGGGAGGGGGGTAGTTTGTCTGCATTTGTGAACATGTGTCTGCGTCTCGACCATTTGCATAGAGCGATCAGGGCGTCCATATGCTGTGCGGCGAGGCAAATTCAGTCACAGTCTTTTGCACGCCTCTCAAGGTCTCTCACATGATCTGAATGAAAACCCAGTGAGTGTCGCACCCCTCCACATGTGACAGTCACATTATCCGTCGGTGAGCAGGAACACGCTCTACCCCATTTCTCACAATAACACTTAAACGCTCCTACTACACTGAAGCCTCATGTTAGCCGCATCACTGTTTCTGTCTGTTACGCCAGCCAATGGGGAGATGCGAAGCTCGTGTCAGCCAATGGCAAACAGTAAAGAATCAGGAAGAGGAAGGAAAAGGCGAGGAGAGTCAGGAGTTTACCCTTGAAGTGCCGTTGAAAACTGAATCAACAACACAGCTTCGGCGGGAAGAAATTGAAGAGATGGGAGCAAAGGATAGTGGGAAGGGGAGGAACGACATGAGAGCGTTATTTTGTGATCAAGACGACCTAGTTTTCCAAACATAAAACAAAAAAAGAAGGGAAATAAAGCAGCTTATTAGAAACAAAAATGATGACCGTGTTACATTTCCTTTGTGAGCTAGTCAGACACGTCATCGCAGAATATTTACAGATCAATTTGAGGGGGAAGAAGGGAAAAAAAAGCCTCCTCTTTAGTTAAAGTCATAGACGTGGCGGTCGTCATGAAGCCAGACAGAGACACAATGCAGATCTCCATAATGTCCGACATGAATACTGCTGTATTCAAAGTGTGATCGTGCTGGAGGCCTGAGCTCGGAGCGTGGGAATGTTAGGAGAACATATGCAGAACAGTCGGCCGCTGGCGAGACAGCCCTGCTAGCATGAATGCTGTTGTAGCAGGTGAAAGAGGACCCTAGAGTTCATGGGTCAAGGCCAGTGAAGGGGTTGTCTGGCTCACGAGTGTGTGTGTGTGTGTGTGTGTGTGTGTGTGTGTGTGTGTGTGTGTGTGTGT